TGTCTCCGCAGCCACCACATTGTGTGCCGCAAATGTATCTTAACATTAGTATGCATTGGCACAATATGGATCCATTATTCCAGGCGCTTCTGAGGACTAGGTGCTGCGCAGGAGCAGCTGCTGCTTTTGAAGCCTCAGAGCGTCAATAGATTCAGAGGTTTTAGGGCCAGAAGGGACCCCGGCGACCACGCAGCCCGGCCTCCCGCGGAGCACCGGTGGTTTCGGCATCCTGCCCCGTGACGCCGGGCTCAGCAGCACCTCCCCTCCAACAGCTCATGCCAGAGAAGTTGCCATCGCCCTCGGTCCTATCCTTCTCCTTGGTAATCATAAAAGGGCCATTTTTTGTTATTTTGCCTTGTGGAGATCCAGCTTGGATCCTCACCACTTGGTCCTCTTGGGTGTCCCCCCTTCTCCCGTGCCACCGGGTGTGGGCGAGGGAAATGCTTTTCCCCTTTTGTTGAAGCTGCTGACTGCACAGGAGGAAGGAAAATAAAAATCTCTGTCCTGGAATGCCTGTCTTAAAAAGGATTCTCGTGGGGGGATGGTATCTGGGAAGATGTTCAGGTTTTGGGTAGTTCCCTGGCTCTGACAGTACACCAAACCTTCAGGCTTTGTTCCAGAACATCTGTGTGCATGCATTTAGCGGCGAAGGGTGCTCTAGGAGGGCTTTGGTTTATATTACTTCTCCCAGTTTATATTACTTTCTCCCAGAAAATGAAGGAAAACAATTAAAAGAGAATAAAAATAAATAAAAAGAGCTGAAAGTCTTATGTTATGGTCACAAAAACTCATCAAAAAAGCACCTCTGGTGTGACAGCTGAAGACAGGTGCCCATACTTTGTGCCACCTCTGGTCCCCGAATCACTGCTGGGAACTGGCTGGTAAAGGGACTGGGATCAGGTCCAGGGTTTGCTTTCAAGCAAGATTTTATCCTTTTGGTTCTCCCATGTTCCTACTTCTGGGGACAGCAGCTGTGCAACGGAGGAGGTAAGGCCATGCCACCCCGAATCCACTGAGGTTTTAGGGATCCCCCAAGGGGAGGACACGGTGCCCACGGGGACTGCAGGGGGCTCCTGGGTTCCCTGTCCTACCCCAGCCAGAGCAGATACGGGGGGCTGAGGGATGTGCTGGTGCCTGCGAGCCCAGGAGGCTCTCCCATCCCATGCCCAGGTTTGGGGTCCCATCTCATCCCTTCCCATGCTGGACTGCTTTGGGACCCAATGCTGCTCACCCGCATGCTTTGGGGTGGCTTGGCTGACGTGGTGAGCTCCTGCTCTCCTTTTTGTGCTGCCCTTGAAGGCTTTCCCTACATGCTACAGCTGGTGGGAGAAAGCACCAAGCTAAATTCCCTTTCCCATCCTCAGCTGGAGGCGGAGGAAGCAACATTTAAGACAAGCCACAGGCGTTGTCCCTCCCGGCACGGAGCTGTCGGTGGGACTCCTTGCTGCAGGAGCTTCACGGATAAAGAAACCAGACAAGCTTGGAGCAGGGAAATTGCCTGCAGGATGGTGAAACCATTGAAAGCAGAGCTGGCTCTGGTGGTCCTGTGCTGGTAGATAGGAGAGGGTCCTGGGGAACCGCCGATTCTGGCACAGAGTTGCTGCATGTGTTTGTCTCCAGCTCGGGATTTTGGCGGGGTCCGAGGAAATAAGGCAGCGTTCCTGGAAAGGATGTCTCCAGCACATCTCCTCCTATCCTGCCTTGCGTGAATTGCCTCGTTCCTGGCTGCCAAGCCGGATCCTGCTTTGCCTTTTCTGTTCCGCTGCTCGGCTCGTGTCACAGCCGGCTGTCCCTCACCTCTCATCAGCCCTGACAACGACGAGGGGAAATGAAAAAAGATTATTTGGTATCATTTTTCCCTTCTACCAGGCGCTTCGTGTAGGAAACACTTTCAAAGAAGAGGGATGAATCACACAGCTACAGAAATTAGAGATGGAAAGGACCTTTTAGGTCAGCCAGTCCATTTCCCTGGCAATGCAGAGAAGCTCAGGGGTGCAGCTCGGTTTTCAAGGACTTCACCCAGTTTAAAACAACTTCGGCAACTTAAATCCATCCTGAGCCAGCTGCAGCTGGAAGAGGGCTGGGTTTTGGCCGAATGTGGTGCGAAGGCCCCAAAGCTTTCTCCCAGTTAAGGTGCAGATTTTTGCCCTGGGAGCTGCTGGGGAGAGGCTGCGGAGCGGGGCATGGAGCAGCCGGACCCCTGGATGGCCACGGGCTCTCCTGGCTCCCCGTACCTCAGTCTGGCATGATTTGTGATACAGATGTCAAATCAACCATTCCCATCCTAGCTATGGGCTACCCAGCTCCTGCAGAAATTCCTTCGCATGGGGAGGGAGAGAACCAAAAAAAAGCTGGGAGTCGAGGGGGAAATAAACCCATAATTACGTTAATTTTCCAAGAGCCCTCCAGTCCAGGGGCTTGTGGTTGAATACAGACTTTTGGCCACGTGAACTCTCTCCCAGTGACTCTGCAAATCCTTATATTTATTTTTCTGGTCATTATCAAAAGGCAGAAAGAGCCGCCGAGCATGGGATGCATCCAGAAGGACCTCTCTAATTAACCCAGGAGGGAGAGCATCCCTCCTGCCTGCCCTGACCCTGCACCTACGGGGATGGAGCGGGCTCGCCAGTGCTCACCTGGGCACCGAGCCTTAATCCCCGTCCCCAAAACACCCGGCCCCTGATCCGCCTTACGGGGACAGCGCCGCGACGCTGCCACCTCCTCCTCATAAGTGGTCACCTGCCAGCTTCAGCTGGAGGCGTAATTGCCATCCTCGAGGCCTGAGCCGTCTTATTCCCCTTGAAGCCGAGGAGGAAACCTCCCAGACTCCGCAGGAGGCTGTGCTGCGATCCCCCCATCTCTTTTCCCAGGATTTATCTCCTGGCGGGGCCGGGAAGGGAAGGGTCTGGAGGGAGCGGGTGCCTCGGGGAGCCGGGGCGAGAGAAAGAAGAGCAAACACAGGTCCATTAATCCGCAGTTAGTCTGCCTTTTTTGTTAGGAAGATGAACTTGATGAGTTAATTAAGCCACAGCCTGTAAAACCAGTTTATTTGCATAGCAAACTCCTGGGCCAGTGCCGCTGTGAGCGGGCATAGCCGCGCAGACAATTCCGGGGAAATTACAGCCTCATTAATATGCTAATCTGGTTGCAGGCCTGGAACGAGTTTTGGGTTTGCGATGCTTGGGGGGGGGTCGGGGGGGGGGGTTGCTTAGCAACCCTTCCCTCCAGGTAACCCTTCTCTTGCTTGCCCTTGATATCCCCCAAGGATGGAGAGGGACGGGGGGGGGCCCGGCGATGCCACGCGCGAGCGAGCGCGGTGCGAGGAGGATGGGTTGGAGCCCTGCTGCAGCCCCCGGCCCCAAATCGGGGTCTGGGGAGGTGGATGGGGTGGGAGGGGAATAGGGGGAGAGCTGCAGGTCGTGCGTCTTGCCTCTGGCTCCACGCCACGGTCACTGCGTGCCGTTAGGTGCCTGTCACCGCATTGTCCCCGCATGGGGTGGCACGGGGCATTGCGACAGGTCCTGGGCTGGTGCTGGGGCAGGAGGGATCAGGACAAGGCTTTCTTTTAGCCATGCTGTCACCACCCACCCCATAACCGACTGCCAGGGTGAGGGATGTGCCCCTGGTGTCCCCGCATCCCACCACGTTGATGTCCACCAGAGGTGGGCCACCAAAAGTCCTCCTGGTCTGACCCAGGCTCTGCAAAGCCAGGCGGGGTCAGAGGTCTGGAGATCTGGGTGGGAGATCTGGGTGGGAGATTTGGGAGATCTGGGTGGGAGATTTGGGAGATCTGCGTGGGAGATTTGGGAGGTTCGGATTGGAGATTTGGGATTTCTGGGTCAGTGATCTAGGAGATCCAGGTCAGAGATCTGGGAGATCTGGGTCGTTCCCCCAGCACGAGGGGGGTTCAGCCGGGGATTACACCCCCTGTGGGATCAGTTCCCGTGCTCCACCACCACCACCTCCATGGGAATTAGATGCCCAAAGGGCTCTGAGGCTGGGGCTGTGTGCTGGACAATGCTGGCATTTTTTTGGATGGAAACTGCAAGCTCGTGTCCTGGCTGGAGGTGTCTCTCCTCTCCCCAAAGCTTTGCCCTGGGCAGTTTAGGGACGGCCATCTCCACTCATCCATCAGCCCAAATGCTCTTATTTGAAGTGCTAACAAGTGAAACCCCCCCAAGAAGTTTTTGCCCTGGATATTTCCCTGATGAGGAGCCCCCCAACCTCTCCATAGGAGGCTGCTGGAGCCCCCTGGATCACCTGGGAAGAAGGGAGCTGCTGCCTTCCCCCCAGGAGTGCCAGTCACCAGGGCTACCCATCCATTAACCTTCATCAGCTCAAATATTTATTATTCATATTACCCCAAAATGTGCTAAAAAGATGAAAAAAAAAAAAAAAAGGAATTAATGCGCCAGATCTTGCATCCACCTTTTAGCTTATAAAGGTGCTAAAGCAGTATTAACATTTACAGTCTATGAGCTCTGCTTTGCTTGTGCCTGAGGCCAGGGGGTTTAAGCCAATACCGAAGTTAATAGCCAGGCTGGTTAAAAAAAAAATAAAATAATGTCATAAAGTGGGAACTTCACTCGGGCTGTGGGCAGCGGTTCTTTCCCACCGAGAGGTGAAGCCGCCCTCTCCGTGTGCTTCTTCCCCATCGCCTGTTCCAGCTCCCTCAAACACCACCAAAATTGGGTGAAATGTGTGTTTTATTCCTCGAGGTGAGTCAAAGAGCACCACGTTTGCCACGAGACAACGGGTTCGGATGCAGGCTGAGAAGCCCCATCCCCTCCTGGGATGAGGAGCTGCCACGTACAAGTTTTCCAGCTGGGATCTTTATTCATACCAAAGGACACCTCTGAATTTCAGGTGGATGCTGGGCTAGCACCTTGCCCAGAGCATCACCTTGGTGACACAAGGCACTAACGACCCTGAGCAGCCTCACCTGGGGGCTCCACCTGCGGCTGGGGTCTATTTAAGCCCAGACCTGAGCCTCCACTCACTTTTTGAGCTTTGCTGTGGATGTGCCTCCTTCAGCCTTGCCTGTGTCTGGCCACAGACCTTCTTGGTGAGGACCTCAGCCTGTGGGGTGACCTGTTCTGGACCTATTTTGTTGCTGCACACCTACTTGGTGGTCACTGGGCTGTGCTGCTGGATGTGAGCCTGCATGGTATTGCTGTGTGGGTGAATTTCAGCAGAGCTCACGATAACCTGAGCTGCTTCACCTCCTAGCCTGATGGTTTTCCTTCCATGCTTCCACCTGTGGTGACACCACGTCCCTTGGAGCTGGGATTTCACCTGCTGGCATTGCTGGGGACCTGAGGTAGGTGAATGGATGGGCTGTGACTTCCCCTGGGGGCTCTCCCTGACCCCAGCCTCCATCCCCTGGGACAACCACAGGCACTTTCTGGCTGCTCACACTTATCCCCATCCCTTAATCCCCTGTGCGTGGTGCCAGCACAGCACTGAGCCTGCTCACAGGACTCCAGGAGAGAGCCCTTGAAGCTGAGGAGCAATGTTCTCTTCCCAGAGGAAGAAATTAGGTCTCAGCTTTTTGGGCTTATTTCTTCTCTGGCTATTTTTTTTTTTTTTAAAGCAGAGCCACACAGGCTGTGAAAACAGAGCAGAGTCCTATTTGAAATTCAGAGGGCACCGTCAGCCCATGTCATTGGCAGAGAATAAATAAATACCTCCTCTGAACAAGCCAGGAGTGATGTGTCGCCAGGCTCATTCAAGGTCGCACCATAAACACGCGGTGGAGGCAGGAAGCAGACCCCAAGGGAGCTGGATCTGTGGACCCCAAGGGGGCTGGATCTCAGCCCTTGCTCTCCTGTGGGACAGAAATCTGTAGGATTTCTGCAGGATACTGCAGGATAATCTGCAGGAATACCGGGCACACGTGGCCCTGAGCTTGGGGGGTCAGTGGAGATGCCCGTGTGCCTCTGCTTGTGTCCTCTCCAGCTGATGGGGGCTGACTGGGGATGTGTGGGGATATCCATGGGTTTGGGGAGATCTGGTTTTGCAGTGTGCTGTGTGCCATGCAGCGTGTTGTCCAGGTGAGGTTTGTCCATAAGGTGCTGCTGGATCCCGGTCCTGAGGCTGCCCTGACCCCCAGCAAGCCCTGGTGTGACTGGGGGGTTTCTGAGGGTCTGTGTTTGGGGTCTTCCTCCATCCCCAGTGCTTAACCTGGGAGAGAAGTGACCAGGGAGGGAGAACCCACCAAAAACCCCCTCCCTGCTCCTCCTGCGCTAGGGCTCAGACCCCAGGTCCGAGGCTGCTCGGCTCCGAGGCTCCGCGGCGCTCCTCACCCTTTGACGAATCCTGGCATTTGCGAAGTTATTATACCTCATTATGGATTGGATTTTAATCTACTGTAAATAGTCCTACCATTATAGTGTCATAAGAAGCAATTAGCCCCCCTGCTTGCTTCTATGCATGAGGGGAAAGCTTTAATATCACGGAACTGCGAGGGCTTGATGGGGCTGAAGCCTCCGTTGGCGCAGGCGGAGGCTCGGCTCCGTGGTGTTAACCTGCTCCGTGCCTGCCTGGGGACGTCCCCTCCGTGTCCTCAGGTGTCCGACGGGAACATCTCCGGAGCTCCTGGGTTGATTTCCCCCCCGGGACCTGTCCCTCCTTGGGTGTGCCCTTTGGCACAGCTGGAGATCCCCTTCCAGTGGGTGCGCACAGTCCGGGCAGGTGATAAATTGCGGTCTCCTCGCCTTGCCCCTAGCCCAGCCCCAAAGGGGATTATCATCTGCAGGGCTGAGAGGCGTCCAGAGTCCAGTCCCTGCCTTGCCTCGCCTTGGGGTGATTATTTCCAGTCTCAGCGAAGCTCTCCTCCTTTGTGGTGCGGAAGAAATTCATTATCTGGAGCCGGCGTGCTCGCAGGGTTAGAAATGAGCCCTACCTGCTCGGTGCCCGTGTCACCTGGAGCTGGGGGGAGCCTGGGCGCTCGGATGTCATGGCTGTCCCCGCTGGGTGACGTTGTGTGATTAATAACAGCCCCGGGTTAATGGGGTTTTAATGGTCCTCCAGCAGCAGGGAGGGGGGGAGGCGTGCTCAGCCCTGAGCTGGCAGGGCTGGGGGCTTGGCCCTTGTTTTGAGGGGGATCTGAGGTAGTTTTGTGCTTGGTGCTGTGCAGGCAGGTGGCTGTGGGGTGTGTGTGTGTGTTGGGCAGCACGGGCTGAGCTAGAGGTGCTTGGGGCTGGGGAACCATGATGGAGACCCCCCCCTGTGACCATAGCACGGTGCATGATGGATGCGAGCATCTGACACCATCCCCAGGTCCCCATGCCCACCCTTACTGCGTTTCCAGCAGCAGAGGGGCCCTGCACTGGGGGTTTAGCTGCAAAAAAGCCTTTTCTTGCCTTCTCCAAGAGTGGCCCACGGAGAGGGCAATGCTCTGTCCTCACCTCCAGGCTCCTCGCGGGCCCCCGCTGCAGCGAGCACTCCTGCAGAAACCTGCTCGCGGGGCTTTGCCCCAGAAAAATGCCCCCCAAGTCCTTTCTTTGCAAAAGAAGCCGGCTGCCTGTTAATTACATGAGCTTTCTCATGGGCAATTGAGCTGGCTGCGCGTGTGTATGTGCGCGTTCGTGCTGCCTGCAAGCCCTCTCCTGATTCATGCTCACAGGTGACTGAAACGAAGCCAAATTTCTGCAACAAAGCACAGCCCGGCTGGCCGTGCCCACCTGCATCCGGGCAGCATCCTTCCTCCCGGTGGCCACCTGGGTCCCAAACCCAATTTCTGAGCCCTGCGCTGGCTCAGCCCTGCAGCTGAGGTGCTGCGGAGCCCCCAAGGGCTGTGCCTGTTACCTGCCCCTCTCTGCCTTGCTACTATCCATCTGAATATTTTAATCCTTGGGGGGTGAGCAGCAAGCTCCCCTCTTTCCGAACAACCTTCCCTCGCTTATCAGCCAAAACCAGGGCTGAGCTGTCCCAGGCTTTGGGTGAGCCCCAGCGTGGAAGGAGCTTAGAGCAGGAGCAGCATCCCCACCCTGTGCGCGGAGGGGGCCGGGGAAGGAGGGAAGCAGCTCGTAATTACAGGGTACGAGGCGGTGATAAAAATGATAATGGGCGAGTTCTGACCCGGCCCAGCCAGGTCGGCGAAGCTGTGAAATAAATTTAGCAAAAGAGCGAGGGCACGGGGGGCTCCCAGGCTGGTTTGTGAAATGCCGGTTTCACAAACACGACGTAAATTGGATTGCAAACATCTAATTAACCTTTCTGCTTATTTTTTTTTGTTGTTGTAGTTGGGAAAGGCGACGGAGCCCAGCTGAAGCTGGCACCGCAGCGTGGTCTCCCCTTGTGCTGGAGGAGAGGGGAGGGAGATGCTGGCGGGCTCCTTGCCCAGGGACAAAACCCTTCTGGCTCCCCCATCCTGGGGTGGAAGCGGAGCGTGATGCCTGCCCTTGCTGCGGGAGGAGGAGGTGCTGGTGGTGTCCCCCCCTGCATTTCTTTGTTCTTTTGTTGCGGGGACCTCCCTGATCCCAGCAGGTGAGGATGTCCCGTGGTGTCCCTGTGCCATGGGGCCATCACCCCTGCATCCGACCCAGCTCCTTCGGAGAGCAGGGTAAGCACAGGAGCACGTCCCTCCCTGCTGCTCCCTGCGATCCGAGGGCTGCTGCTGCTTATCTGGCTCGAGGGCAATGCTCCACATGGCTTTCAGAAGCCTGTGACCCCCCCCCCCCCTCTTTCAATCCCTTCACCGCCTCCTGCCTCCCCCTCGCCCCAACCCCTTCTCTTTTTCACCCCACCTTCCCCCAGGGGCATCCAGCCAGTGCAAGCGGTCCCCTGGCAGCAATGATGAAGATGGATGTCTGATTGATTCTCTCTCCTCTGTGCAACCCCCCTCTGCAGCCCCCCCCCTCTTTTTCCCCTCGTCCCCCCCCCTTTTCCATGCCCTTCTGGCAGAAAATTAAAAGGCTATTTGTTAAAGGGTGAAAGCCCTCAGGTGCAGCCCCCGGCTGGACAATTTGTCTCCATGAAAAGGATGCTATTATGAGAGCTGGCTGGATCCAGGAGGAGGGGAGGGGGGAAGAATTTGCCAGGAGAGACGGGGGGGGGGGTGTCGGGGAGGGGGAAGGAGGCATCTCGGAGGGACAATGCGGCCAGCCTGGGGGGGCCGTGAGATTGCCAGGGCTGGCTGTCCCCCCCTGACTGGGCTGTGGTTTTGTGGGGAGGGAGGGAGGCTGATCGTCCTGGGGTGAGGGTGGTGGTGGGCAGAAGTGCCTCCTGCCAGGGGTGCTCCGTGTGTCCCCATCAAAGGGGATGGAGAATCGGCCAGGCTGGGTTTTGGGCTGGCTGCTGGGGGAGCTGTGCCAAACTTGGGGGGCCCCGTGGGTGCCTGGGACTGGGTGTCCCTTCCCCTGCTCCAGGGATAATGATGATGATGAGGAAGAAACATACCTTTGGTCTCTTGTGCAGCAAATCCATCAGGCAGGTGTCTGAGCCCTCCCTCCCTCCTTCCCAGCGTGTATTTTTGTCCGTGACTCCAGCCACCCAGCTCTTCGTCCTCCTTCCTCTCCATCACCGAGCCCCTGTTTGCCTGCTTACCTGCTCCTCTCTCTGATTTTAGGCTTTAACACAAGGACCCCTTGGAGGATCCATGGTACTAATCCAACAAGAAAGACCACCACGGAGCTGGGGGAGCCCCCAGACCTTTCCCTCTCCAAAATATCGTAAGGCTCCGAACTGGGAGAGGCTGAACATTACAGAGCTCCTCCAGGAGAGACCAGGGTAGGGGTGAGACCCGCATCCACTGGCAGCTTCTTGTGGCTGCTGGGAGCTCGGTGAGGCTCCTGGAGGTGGTGGCAGGGGAAATGTTGCTGGGCAGAGGGGCTGGTGGCATGGGGTTTTGTGCGGAGGAGATGATGCGTGCTGGTTGTGCCCAGCTCCTGCTGCAGGAAAGCACCTGGAAGGGTAAGAAACAGCCCAGAATGGCTCAAAAGGGGCTCTGCTGGACCCTCAGGCATAGCCAGGGCTCAACACGCAGCTCCCAGCTCTGTGCCTGGACGTGGGGGTGCTCAGCCCTGGGTTCTGCTCCCTCGGGACACAAATGCAGCCCCTGCTGCGGGTGGGAGCGTGTCCGCAGGAGGAGGAGAGAACGGGGTGGCCGGGTGCTGACCTCCGTCTGCAGGAGATCACGAGCTGATGAGCTGTTTTCCCCATTTTGTGATGCTCCTCCAAACAGGGATGCTGCCTGCTCCCATGGGCATCGGTGCTCCAAACGTGCGCTCTCCTCTCCTGGCATCTCCTGAACCCAGCTGAAATAGATTACAGCCTAAGATTTAATGATTCAGCGTTTCTGTTGCTGCTGATTTACTGAGTGATGCTCAACTTTTTTTTATCAGCCGAAGAACTGCTTGGCCATCAGGAGCTGCAGGCGGCTGCGGAGGGAATTAAATAATAATATCTTTGGGATGTAAAGATGGATGGGTCGGATGCAGCAGCACAGCCGCCTCGGCAGCGAAGTAAAGGTCAGGATGGGAGCTAAAATAGGAAGGAGGGAGTCTCCGCTTGCTTCTGCAGCCTGCCAACACTAATACAGGCTTAACCCACGTACGTGCCAATGGCTTTGTGCACTTATTTTTAATTTCTCCTTGCCAGAATGGCCTGTGGTTTGATCCGGGGTTACAAGCAATGTGTTGGTCAAGCATGTGGGTTGTGATGGGCAACAGCATCCGAACCTGTGATGCAGATCAAAGCTTTCCAGAGGGATGTGTGGTGCTCGTGCCCATGCACAGGTGCTGAGGCAGGTGGAGAAAAGCAGGTTGAGGGCTGGATGACTCCAGAGCAGCAGGAAATGTTGCTGGGGTCACACAGGTTTGTGGGGAGGTTGGGAGCAGAGGGGACAACTGGCAGGAGCCCGAGTATGGCTGGTGCCACATCTCCCCTCTGAGCTGGCCCAGGTGAGGGGAGCGTCTGGAAAAATGGGAAAAGGGGGGAAAAAAATAAAATAAAATGGCCCAAATCCAAAGGCGAAGGCTCTCGGGAGATGGCACAGAGCTGTTCAGTGCCGGTGCCTGAGAACCATGAGGAACGTGAAGCGGAAACCAATGAAGCGCGGGGAGCGCGGCGCAGCCTAATTGAGGGACAAAACCTGAGCAGATGGGCGGCCCTGCCCACCGCCCCCAGCCCCCGAGGGGGGGCAGGACCACCCCATGCCCACAGACCTCATCTTCCTCATCGTCCCTGCTGCCTTGTCTCTAGGTCTTGGAGGTCTGGTTTAGCCCAAACCTTCCCACATCGTGGCCGTGAACCCATGAGGAAGCGAGGTGGGTGGACTTGGGGTCCCATTGCCCATGTGGGGCTGCCCTGCAGGTGGGCATTGCCCCCCTTTTCCTCCTGCCCTGGCTGTGGGAAGCCTAATGAATTAGTGCTGATTGAATGAACGCTTTCAGGTAATCAGATAAAGGTGCCATAAAAGCATGTGGTGGTGGTGATGATGTGCTTTATAGTGAGGAGAAAGCGGTGATCCCAAATAAAAACCCAAATTAACACGGGGGAGGTCTAGAGGTGGCTTCAGATCTGAGGCAAGCTCTGCATTAAAGGTACAAATGAATTCAGGCGTTTGCCAGGCTCCCACCTCTCCTCAACCCGCATCTCCTCTTGACCTCCCTGCTCCTCTCCAGGAGCCTTCCTGCTGGAGACCGAGATTAATCACCTCCTGCACGGCCCTGCGGGCTTCCCCCATCTGATAACGTGTGAATGAGGCTGACAGGGCCTGCTGAGGCTTTCTCTGCTCCCTGCCTTCCCTCCCGAGCCCTGGCAGCACATCCACGAGGCCACCACATCCCCAGCCTCCCTGCTGTCCTCGTCCCTCGACTCGCAGCACCCAGCCTTTAACCTCATGCTGCCGACTCCACCACTAACCCGTGTCACTAAGCTCTGCATTTCCATGTTTCTTGAAGATTTCCAGGTTTGGTGACAACCACGTCCCTGGGCAGCCTGTTCCTAGGCTGCACAACCCCTTCAGTAAAGAAATTCCTCCTGATATCCAACCTAAACCTCCTCTGGTGCAACCTGAGGCCCTTTCCCCTCATCTTGTCACTTGGCTGGGAGAAGAGCCCGATCCCCACCTTGCTACGAGCTCCTTCAAGGTAATTTAAAGTTCTGTAAGGTCTGAACAACCCCAGCTGCTCCTCATAACACTTGTTCTCTAGACCCTTCACCAGCTTTTTTGTTGTTCTTTGGACACATCCACTGCTTCGTGGCCGGTGGTACCCCAGGCTGCATGGACAGGGCTCTCACCCTGTGCCTCCTCCCCAGTTCTGGACCCTTTGGGATCACTTACTGGGGAGATGATTTCCATTTATTTTTAACTCAGGTGACTAAAACAATTTCCTCCCCGTACCAACAAGTTTTTTTCTTTTCTCCTTTCCCATCAATGCAGATGAAACACCCAAACTTGTTTCACCTCGAAGTTAGAAGCATCAAGAAGAGATGGCCCAACTCCTCCAGCACGCTACCTACTAGGAACTTTCGTTTAGGTAAGCTGGTTTGTCAAATTTGGCAAGAATTTGTACCTTTCACTTGCATTCCCTATTCACCCTGAGACAACGTTTTAAAGAATAATGGAGGATTTGTCCTAAAAAATAATAATTTGCCAGGCTGGAATCCACTGGATCTTCCGCCCTAGCACAACACCCAGAGGAATGGGTTTTCATCCCGCTAACAAAGTGAGCCCCGAGGCCCCTCTGAACCCCATAAAATTTGGGATTTCTTTAGCTTTGAGTCACCAGGGCAGGAAAACTCATGGTCCCCATCGGTGTGCATCCGTCCTCATTAGGACAGGGGGACGGGGGGGGGCTGTGGGGCTGCTCCTTTGTCCCGGCCCCGCGTTTCATCCCCCGCCGCCCTACGTGGGCCGGGGGAGCACCGCGCGGGGTCATGTTTGTTGTGTTTCCAGGAAGCCCCTCCAGAAAAAACATCCTGGGAGCACAGAGGTTTCCCTTCTGCCGGCATACAAATGAACCCCAAACACAGCCCGCTTCAAAGCCGCCGCCTAATGAGCCGCTCCCCACCCCGGTGCGACGAGGGCCCTAACGAAGCCTGGGCAGGACAAAGGCGCCAGCTTTGCTTTTTGAGCTTGCTCAGCGGAATAAAAAAAAAAAAAGAAGAGGTAGAAGAGGGGGCAGGGAGCGGGGATGCCGGCACAGGAGGGGCTGATCCTTTCCCTCCGTGCCCCCCGGCACCTCTCCTTCCTTGGGGCCCGCGTCCCAAGTCAGCCTGAGCATCCCGAAGCCCCCCTCAAGCATCCCGTGGAGGTTGGGGTTTGTGGGACCGGCCCCAATGTGCTGGGGGCTGCCAATACCATCCCTAATCCCCCTTCTGCATCAGCCAGCTGAAGCCTCCTGGCCCCAAAAGCCTGCGGCAGGTGTAGGAACCAGCTAGGGGAAAACAAGGACGGCGGCAAATGCTGGCTGCAGAGCCCTGATGAAGCTCCAGGCAGGGAATGGGTTCGCAGATTTTCTTCCCAAAATATTTTAGGAGGGAAAGCATCCAGAAATGTTCATTGTGCAAAAGTTTTCTTTTGATGATGTTTTTTTTCTTTTTTTCAGGTGGAAGAAAATGCTTTTTCCTATTTTTTTTGGTTTTGCTCGCAAAAAAAAAATTGTTTTCCTACTTTTTTATTCACAGTATTATTTTTGTCTGGCTGAGGAAGCATTTTCTGCCACAGAAATGTGAAACTAACCTAAAAATAACGCCACTCTTCGTTGCGCTCTGCAGTTCCTGGTGCCACGTGGAAGTTTTCCCGTCCAGCAAGCAGCGAGGGGATTTCCCCTGGGACCGGATCCCCCTGGTGCACCCAGAGCTGCCACCGCTAGCTCGGTTGAAGGGGATCCCTGTGCCCAAGGTAGGTCCCTGTCTGGGTGCAGAGCTGCCTGGGGCAGCTCTTTTGGGGCTGCCCTACTCCTCGCAGCCCTTCCCAGCTCTTCCCATCCATCTTCCCAGGCTCCGGGCGATGGATGGGAGCTGCCAGCCCCGCAGCAGAGGTGTTGGTGTCATTGATCAGCTCCAGCACTGATTTCCCCCTCTTCTCCCTGCTATATTTTCATCTTGGCTGGGGAACAAATGAATATAAGTGGCCGGCACCGTGTGCCTGGAGGCGGTGGGGCTGTGGGGTTTCCCTGGGCGTGTTGACCAAAAGCATCCCCTCGTCCTTCCATCCGTGGTGGAGAGCTGAGCATCACCCAGCCCCGTGCCCTGTGTCTCCAGGGGTGAAGAGGCTGCATGGATGTGGGGATGAATGATACTGGGGTGGGGATTGGGGTCGCAATTTTAAGTGGTTTGCAAAGCCCGCCGTGAGCTGGAGAAGGCACCGGTGGCTTCCTCGGGACACATCCCGTGCTCAGTGCCCACATGGGGCTGATCCTAAAGCGCATCCCAGCCTGGTGGTGCTGGGGCTGCTCTCTGCATCAGCCCCCAAGAAAGGAGCCACAGCTGGAGGTGAGCACACGTCTCCATCCCACCCCATCCCTGGCATCCCCCTGTCCCCATCGGACCCGGGACGGGCTCAGCCTCTACGACGGGTTAAAAACAAGCATGCGAGCAGCCCCCGCCTCGTCCCCAGTGCCAAGGGAGGAACAAAACCCTGCAGCAAAGGGCCCTCGAGCGAGTAATCTCTCCTTCAGATGTGTCCCAGCATCCCTCCGCCATGCGCGGCCCCGGCAGCCACCACTTGAATTAGCACCCAAGGATTATGGGAGCCACAGTCATTAATCTAGGTGACAAACAGGACTCTGAAGGAATATTTGCACCCCGAAATTGAAAAGATTAGGCCATATTTGTCAAGGATTGGTAGGCTTTATCGCCTCCAGAGCAGATGCTGTTAAATATTCATGAGCTGCATAAGTGGGAGAAGACCTCGCTAGGCCTGATGACTTTCAGAGAGAGGAGGGAAGGGGGGGACAGGGACGGGGGAGGCACGGTGGCATCGGCATGCCGAGGTGGTGGTGGGGGGCTTTGTGGGCAGAGGGGGGTGGCTGCAAGCCCAGCCTGGGGTCTCTGCTGTCCCCAGAGCCAGCCCAGAGCTGGGGACCCCAAAAGGTAGGGAGGTGCTGGTGGGCCACCAGGCTGGATGTCCCCACACATGTCCCCTCGGATCTAGGGATGGCCTCTGGTTTGGAGGTGGCCCCCTGAGCTGTCAGTTGCCCTCAGGGGCCCCATGGCCCTGCTTGGTGGTGTTGATTGATTTAGGGAGCCCAGCTCCGTCCCATTCAGGTTCCTTTTTCTCTTAGGATTTGCAGTCCCCATGGGCTCCTGCTTGGGCACAGCCCCACAGCCACCTCCTCTGCCCCACCACGAAGATTTTGCAGTGGATGGCAGGGAGGATGGAGAGGTGGGAGAGGAGCTGGAGGAGGAAACGGATTCGAGAACCTGGAGCTGATGGAGGAAAGCAGCCTGGGGAGAGGACACATGGGAACAAGATGGGGAAGGGATGGACGGATGCTCAGGACTAGATAAAAAATGAGGAAGAAAGTAGGAAAGCTGTGCACAGACACGGTCACCTCCTGACCCTCAGCCTCCCCAAAATTTAAGAGTAGCTTCCCGGTGAGCCCCCTGCAGACCCCAGACCTGCTCCCCCCAAACCCAAACTGCCGTGAGGACCTGGCACAATGGCATCCTGGAGGCTCAGCTCTCTGCGGCCCCAAATCCCCCCATTAACTGGGGTTTTCCAGCACCCAATTCTGGAAAGACTGAGCTGCTGGCTTGCCCGAAGGAGCTGCGGAGGTGGGAAGCCCCCCAGCAGGGCATCTCCAGCCCTTCCCTCCCCGATTTTTTTGGCAGGGAGGCAGGCAGGACCGGCGGTGCCACGCAGGGGGCCGAGCCCCCCCCGCCCTCCCCAGGTTTCTCTCTGTATCTGCCAAGCACACACGCTTGGTCCGGGGCCAGTTTGAACCCAAACTCCGAATCGCAAAGAGCCAGGGAGAATTTTTAGCGCACCAGAAGCCTTGATTTTCAGCCAGCTGTTTCCCCCAGTGTCATTCAACTGATAAAGGGAAAAGCCAGGGCTGGCATTAGGAAAAGCATCTCGTAAGCTGCAAAACCAGCAGAAAAGACTCCGTTGCCAGGCTTGTGGGGCGACAGACACTTAATTTAGTGCAGTCCAGGGATTTTTTTTATTTTTTTTTCCTTCAATGTTAGTGGAAAATCCTGATTCATCAAAAACCACAATTCTTTGAAAGAATGGGTCAGTCCCACCTGACGTTTTCACTCAATTTAAAGAAAACCCAAACCAATAAAACCGAATCAGATGACATTTTGTACCCAATCTCTTCCAAAAGGGAAGAAATTATTCGCTGCTCATCCCAAATGTCTTTTGAGTGTTAAGTGTGTGGCTGCTTATGGTAAAAAGAGATGGAAACTCCAAATTTGCAGAACTGTCAGAAGCTGTTTCCATGACCCCACGAGGAGGTTTAGGTCAGTCTGAAGGGCACCCTGAGTTTCTCTCCTGCAGACACCACTGGTCACCACTTTGGGTGTGCTGTGCTGTGCACCTACCCAGCAGTGCTGTGGCCAGGCACTGCTCGTGGCATCATTTCCACCATACAGGGAAAAAATAAAAATAAAAGCTCTGGAAATGCTACATCACCTGCTGCCCCAATCCTCATCTCCACCTCAGCCTCCGGGAGATGTCCGCGTTTGGGTTCAGGCTGGGGTTTGCCCGGCCCTGCTCCATCCCACCTCCGCTCCCCAGACCCCCGCCAGCCTCAGCACGATTTAATGTCTCGCAGATCTGTCCCTATTTGACAAACAGGTGATTTTGCTAATGAGGAATAAATGAGATTCACAGGATGAGAGAAAGGGAACAGCAGCTGTCGTGAGCGCAGGATGTGCTGGCTTTATTAAAATAATATATGGCCACATGCTTGGTATTAGGGCTCGCAGTTTGAGAACTCCCATCTCATCCCTCCCCTGCTCCCCCCGCCCCGGCTCTCCCCTCCCCTCTCTCATCCCCGTCCCTTTTCCTGGAACATTTTCCAATCAGCAAATTACTGGCTGGAGAGCCCAGGCCCTCCCAGGCCATGCATACGAAATACGGCCTCACGTGGCCGCGGCTGGGCTGGGGAGGCAGGGAAGATGTGCAGGCGTGTGTGTGCGCATGGATGTGTGTGCACACGCGTGTGGAGGAGGCGAGGGAAGGGGAAGGAGGATTTTTGGTGCTCTGGAGGATTTGGGTGCTTGGTGATGGATGTTGGTGGAAGAGCAGGTGATGCAGGGAGAGTTTTGGGCAGCAGGAGGAGGCTCCTTTGGGCACTGGGACGCAGATGGTGGCTCTGGAAGGAGATGCAAGGATCGGTGGCATAAAATCTGATCCTGGGCTCTGGGTATGGGGTCAATGAGCTCGTTGGATGGCCCTGGGTGGGACAGGAGGATTTGCCATCCCATGCTCTGTGTTAGTGCCACATCGGGGCATAAACACGCTGTGAGACAAAGCTCAGAGCCCTGGTCTCAGGAGTACAGTCTGCAGGCAAATATTTACAGCCCAAGGGGTTTTCTTGTTATTCTGCTGGGAGGATGCTTTGGTGAGAGGTGATGTAGAGGGGGAGGGAAGGAGAAGTTTGCCTTATTCCCTCTGTAAAGCTCCCTGGCACTTAAAGGAGGAGGAAGAAACCTTATTTTTTTTTTTTTTCTGAAATCCTTTCCCTATGTTTCTAACCAAAATTTCCCGTCTTACCTGTAGTGGGTTTCCTTGCACTTCCTCCCCAGCAGCTGGGGAAGTGGCAGGCTCCGAATAGCCCCAGTTACAAAAAAGATGCAGAATAAATATTATTTTTCTGCAGGTTTTCAGGGCTTAACTCTCCAGATAAGCTTTGAGCAGCGGGGAGGAAGGTGTTTCCTTGGCCAAGCAGGAATACCCTGGCAGTTTTAGCTAGAAGGCAAAATGTGGTCTGGAAAGGGCAATTCTGAGCTGAAGTAGCAGGAAATGATGCAGTGTTAAAATGATATTTCTGTGATGCCAGAAGCCCAAGAATAAAGAAGAGATGAACTGGGAAAAAATAAAAACAAACAAATGACAAAAAAAAAAACAACAACCAAGCAAGAAATCCTCCAACCCATTTTTAAGTGGTTGCGATGAAAACAAACTTTTATTTTTATGGTTTTATGAGTGTTCATTAAAAAAAAAATAAGATGTAAATGATTCTCCCACTTTTCGTGCAGTATTTCAAGGTGATGCATATGCTTTGTTCATGACTTCTCTCCGTGCAGGTGCTTCTCATCCCAGGAGGGGAAGCAGCTCGCTTGGGGCCAGCGCTCGAGTCCCTCCTGGGGTCACCAGTTCCAAGCCCCCGCCCCAATTCAGGCAGGGGATTTTCCCAGCATGGGGGGTGAACGCAAACCCCGGTGCCCCTTCCAGAATGGGTTCAGCAGGTGCAAGGCACGGGCAGCACCGCTCGGGGCCCGGGGCTCGGGTCACCCCTCGGGGCAGGGACAGGCAGCGAGCGGCGGGGCGAGCAAACAAGTGCCCCGCGAATAATGGACTGGGTGAGTGACAGCAGAATTGCCGTTTAACAATTTGCTGGGCAAATATTATTTGACCGTTTCTAGAGCCGCTTGAAGAGGACAAATATAACCTCCCCACGCGCTGGGAATAATTCGGTCGGCAAAAGCAGGCGGAGATTCGCCGGATGAGTTATCGACGGCGGGGGACAGAAAGGTGTCACCGCTGTCACCAAAGCCATCGGTGCGGGTCTGTGTGTCACTGGTGGACCACGGATGGGGCCGGGTGGCCACCTCCCTGCCTCAGCAGCCCGAATACCGGCCCCATCTCCCCAGGTCGGCCGTAATCCCCGCGTCCCCACGTCTCTGGGGGATTAAGCTCCCATATGAATGCTTCTCCCCACTCAGGGGGGAAGCATCTGGGTCTCTGCGTCGGGGGGAGCTGGGCTGGAGGAGGGGATGGGGCTAGGAGGCATTCCCGCCCCACACGGCGCGGGGCTTGGGAACAAAAAGCCGGAGTTGCATGGAGAGCATCCCCTGCTGAGGCCCCGGGGCTGGCGCCTGCCCCCACTGAGGGGGCTGTGGCATGCATGGCTCCAGGTGCTCCCGCAGCCCAAATTCTCTGCCCAGGCATCCTTCACCCGCGGTGCATGAAGGCCGGCACGGCACCGGGGGGCTCCGTGTGGCCGGGTGTCCTCTCCAGCTGGTGGCACTGCTCATCCCTCCCTCTGGTGCCGTGGAGGTGCTCTCTGCTTTGGGCCGCTCCGTGCCTCAGTTTCCCCAGGGGGTTCCCCAGTTCCCTGCTCCTCACCCTGCTGGCCCCGCTCTGAAACCCCTCCGTCCCGCTGCCACTGTGCCGAGCGATTAAACGTAGCGTTATCTTATTTATTTTGGCTTGCCTCCTTGCCAGTCCCCTGCTGTAAATTAAATGATTGCTGAGCTAGATTAGCAGAAAGCATATGTGGAAATTACCTTTTAATTTCTTAATTACATTGCACTCACCTGCAGCTCAACCTGCCAGTGTAAGGAGAGTGTGAAGTTAATTTCCATTGATATATTATCTGCTTTCTTATAAATTAGGATCCTATTAGAGAGGAAGCACACCAAGAACACGCTGTTCCCAGTCAGGCTGTGGATGGGATCTGCTCTTAGGGCTGGCTTACAGGAGCTGGGCTGCCTGCAGGTCGGTGGGATGGGGGTGTCCCATAGATGTTGGTGCACACCGCAGTGGCAGGGAGCCTTTCTGTGTTCTGTAACCTTGTCAAGGCTGTAGGAACGGGAATCCCAGGGCCAATATCCTGGGTTTGACCACGGTTTGTTGTTTCTTAGGGATGTCTTGGCAACAAGATTGAATCGAGTTGCTTCAGTCGCGGGGTCAAGGCTGGGAAGGGAGCAGTTAGGTGGCATCTTCCAATCCCTGGAGCAAATGAATGGGAAAGCCTGATTTCTCTCAGAGTTTCCCTTCCTACTGGGCTGTTTATCGAGACAAGAATGAAAAAGCCTAAAACTGATGTTTTAAAGTATCACCCAGATCTCTGGGCCCTTCCATTGTCCACAGAGGCTGGGGAGCAGAGCGAGCCCTGGCAGCACCCATCCACGCAGGGTGTTAGTGCAGCTCTCACGATGCTCCTCAGCACCCAAAGCTCCTCAGCACCCATGGGTGGGCTGCTCGGGTCCCTACCTGGGCAGACCTGAGGAGCTGGGAGAGCATTCGGAAGGTGAGCCATGGTTCTGCTCCTCCGGTCACTGTTTTGTTTCATGAGGCAGCTGACGTGCTTTGTTCTCTCTTCTGGAGACTTGATTTGTTTTCTTTCTTATTCAGTGGCTTTCCCTAGCCTGTAATGCTTTTCATATTCCCTGTGCAGCTTGTGTCAGAGGAAGGGGAGATGGCAGATTGATTTCCTATCATAAACCCCTTCCTGCTGTGAAGAGGAGAGGAATGCCGTTTGTACGCCGCTTGCAGACGGACCGATGCTGAAACTATTTTGGGTTGACTTTGTGCCCCAACCTAAGCCAAGGCAGGGTGGCAGTGACAAGGTAACCTCCAGGTAACGTGCCCTGACCCATTGCTGGAGGATAACGTGGCGTGGAGGGTAACGAGGCAAACACCACGGCTCTGCTACCAGAACCACCTCCTCCGACTGGGATCAAAGCTGGAGCAAGCTGAGCGCTTCGTTCAAAGGACTGGTGGGGTCAAGCCTTTTGTTGTAGGTTTGTTTTATGTTACAGAGATTCTAGATAGATCTGTCCCGAGAGCTCCTCTGTTCAATAGGTTTAGGGTGTGCAATGTGTGACCTGGGGGATGAGCTGGGATGCTCCTCAGCAGGGTCAGGACGTGGCAACCTGCAGGGTTCATCCTGCCGTGGGGCAGGGCAGATCTGGCCAGGCTAGGGGAATGGAAATTTTCTGGCAGATGTGGGGCTTTAACATGGACAAAAGCAAGCCCCTGCCCCTGGGATGGACTAAGGGGCTGAGGAATAAGTGTTGGGGTGGGTTTGGCAGAAGGCTGCCAGGGTGTTGGTGGGGCCGGAGGGAGGAGAGGCTGGGGGCTTGGTTGGGCTGTGCTGAGAGGAGGAGAGGAGAGGGAAATAGGCTGGAACAGGATCTGGTGGGATGTAAGGAAATACAGCCACTGTGGGGGTGAACAAGCTGTGCACCGGAGCAAAGGAGCTGGTGGGATTCCTGTCTCTGGAAGTGTTTGGGAACTGACCGGGGAAATCCCTGAACATCCCAGCCCAAACTCCATGCTAAGCTTGCTGTGGGCAGGAGGTTGGGTTAAAGACCTCCTGGGGTCCCTTCTCACCTGAAATTCCTGCAGTTCTGTGCTGCTGCTGTGCTGCAGGGGATCAAAACTGCCTCTCGTGCTCTGCCCGGCACAGCAAATACTCCCAGTGCTTCTCACAATGGGACCGAGTGTGAGCGGGTTTCAGAGCCCAATTCCCATATTTCTGCTTCAAACCCTGCCGACCACACCTGAAACTCATCAGGAGGTGGC